AAACCCCCCCCCCCCCCCCAAAAAAAAAAAAAAAAAAAAAAAACAACGCAAATTATAGAAAGAAAAAACAAGCATCGTTTGCCGATGTTAAAGTAGAATGAAGATAATTTACCTGCGACCACAAAAGAATGGTTCCTTTGAAGCCAAATTTCACCACCACACAAAGTAATAATGTATTACAAGTTCAGATTTTCCTCAATATGATACAAATAATGAAAAAAGCAAAAAAAATCGTAGAAATTCAATAAAGGTGTAGTTTGTCCAGGAAGTTGATACAGAAAAGAAACAAGTTTCGGTAATCGATTCCGTAGAGAAAAGAGACTTCCTTTTTCTTGCATTCAATTTCCCTATTGTTTCTTCAATTCTCTCTCTCGTATCAGTTCTCCCAATCGTCTATTTTATAAATTATAAAGAAGACGTCAGGTCCAAGGATGCGTCTTGTCCGTCTCCTTTTACAATTTGTATTTTCAACCCAAAATTCATTGTGACTTTCTCCTTTTTCGATAAATTTAGAATGAGGCACGTTATTTTCATAAATATACATTTTTAAATAGTATATTGATAAAAATTATTATTAAAAATAATAAAAAATTAAATTTGTGTGTAATATTATTTTATTGAAAAATATGTAACTGAAATAATACTATTTAAGAATGAAAGATCGTGGATCAAACATGCCTAATTTTTTAGCTGGCAGCTTTAGTTGGTTTTATTTTAAACAAGTCCTTCTTCGTTTTAAGTCCTTGACTTATTGCTTTAATAGCACCGTTGTCCAAAACTCACTAAATTCATCAAAAATATGCACGTGAGTCTCACGTGTTTTACTAGGTAAACATACAAATGATTTAGGCCCTTTTTGATTTAGTTAAAATTAGATTATTTGTAGATTTTGATAAAAGTTGGTAAAATGTATACTTAAAAAAGTTAATAAAAATTGTGAATGTTTGAAATATATATTTAAAACAAATTTGAAGAAGAATGAATTTTAAAAATGGAGTAAATTGCTCAAATGGTCACTAATATTTGCAAAAAAGTTTCGAGAGATCACTGAATTTTAAAAATCACCTAAATAGTCACTTAACTTTGCAAAGCTTAATGATCCCTGAGAAACTTTTTGCAAAGTTCAGTGACCATTTAGGTGATTTTTAAAGATCAGTGACCCTTTAGAAAATTTTTGCAAAGTTCAGTGATCATTTGAACAATCCACTCTTAAAAATGGGAACCAAACACAAACTTAGTAAAAAAGCAAATAAATAGTGAACAAAAAATAAATATAATAGAATAAAAGGAAAAATAAATGTAATAGAATAAAAGGAATAGTACCCAAAAAAATTTTGTGTTATGCTAAATTTTTTTCTTCGCTTTATCAGATTCAATTAGATGTAGCAAATGGACAGAGCCATTCGCGTGCTCTGATCAACCTAGGAATGTCTTGAACTCGTTTTTGAGATGAGTCTCTTACCAAGTTGAGCTCCAAAGATTTTTCATGGGTTGGCTCGTCTTGAGCTCGTGGGCCCCCAGCTTTGATCATTTGAGCCAAACAATCACATTGGCACAGTGTCAAATTTTATTTAATTTGTTATTTTTTTTTGTAACGATCCTATTCTCCATATAAAAACTCTAACTACATTTTTTTCACAGAGCACGAAGCACAATCCAAACACTTGAGAGGGGTGAATCACTTCTCTTTTTCTCTTTAATTTTTCCAATGATCTGTAGTGTATCATTATATATTTCAATGTCAAAATACTTAACAATAAATTCAACAATCTTTGTTATTGGATTAAGTTGCGGCATTAGGTAATAGTAAACAGTAAATGCAACCTTTATCACAATCATCAATATATTCTTCTCATGTTGTAACAATAAGATTTTATGTTTAAGTATTTGTAATGACTCCAAGAATTTTTGGTAGACCCTTGAGTCATAGATTCTTGAATCTTGGCCAAATAAAGGTTCTAATATTGAGGAGTTTCATAATGCAAGAAACAATCACAACGCTAGCCTAATCGTGATTTGCATTATGTCACTCGTCAAATATTAGAATATTTAATTGGTCAAAACACACAAATATATTACTTAAGGTGCTGAACAAGGATTTTTGTATTTTCTAAAGAAAGAGAAGAGTTAGAATTGTTGTTATTATTATTATGCAAGAATTATTATTATTATTATTATTATTATTATTATTATTATTATTATTATTATTATTATTATTATTATTATTATTATAAGTATTTGTAATGACTCCGAAATTTTTGGTAGACCCTTGAGTCATAGAATCTTGAATCTTGGCCGAATAAAGGTTCTAATATTGAGGAGTTTCATAATGCAAGAAACAATCACAACGCTAGCCTAATCGTGATTTGCATTATGTCACTCGTCAAATATTAGAATATTTAATTGGTCAAAACACACAAATATATGACTTAAGGCGCTGAACAAGGATTTTTGAATTTTCTAAAGAAAGAGAAGAGTTAGAGTTGTTGTTATTATTATTATTATTAGTTTGAAAAGGGTCCAATTTTTTTTTTATTATTATTTTTAAAATATTTATGTAAACTCTACTTCACTTCATTTTTTCCACAAATTACCTTCTCAATTTACAATTATAATACTATTCATATTAACTTCTTTTATTGTGCAATCTAATGTTTTACTGTCTTTAAAATTACTTACTTGAGTTAATTTTGTCTAATTCTAGTATAATTATATCATTCTACATATTTCTTCGATATATACCAATTCTATCTTTAGGTATACATATTGAACTTTTTAACTTGATTATGGACTTGAACAAATTGGTTACATTCACGAACTTCCAAATTTTTTTGAAATCATTCTTTATCACTTCTTAAAGTCCACTCTTCAGAATTTTTCGAGAGGTCATAAATGCAGACAATTTGTTCAAGTCAACAATCAGGCTAAAATGTTTGATCTGAATTCATATCTAGAAACTAGATGTAGGATTGATTCAAAATCTATTTGGCTCATTGAACTTCGTAAAAATTTGTTCCACGCATTGCATGTTGCATAGAGAACTTAATGTATTTAAAAGTTTGAAAACATATAGATCTTTAGTCCAAGATGAAGTGAACTCAAATGGTTTGAGATTTTTATGATCTGATTTCACAATTTGTAAGTATTGTTTACATTTATTTATTTTTTTCTAATTTTTCGAAAAAATTCATGCAAGTAATATCTTATTTGTGTGTACATTAAAATTAGTCAATTGAAAACCCCCAAAAAAAATAATAATAATAAATAAGGGTTTCAATTTTATTTTACTTTTGAAAATGAGTCAACTCGACTTATGAGGCCATCAAACCAAATGATCAAGCCAAGCAAGGTTTTTGTACACGAGTTGAGCTTGGGCATCTAAGGGTGGAGCCAACTCAATCGATTCATCAGTTCTAGATTCGACTTATGTTAGAATGACACTTTAATCAAATTACAACTATGGGAACAATATTGATTTTACATAATTAGTCAAATTTTACATAATTAGTTTGCATTTTGATAGATGAAGATGCAAAATTAGGTTAGGAATTCTTCACAAAAATTCGAATAGATGAAGAAGTCAAACGTCTATTTTTCTTTCATGGATCTTCTCATGTGTATGTTCATTCAGCCATAGTTCTGTTATGTTATGACATTGTTAATTAACTCTCAAATGCAATACTTTTTATTGTTGGGTTTTCAAAGACAGAAGTTGGTGATTGCGACTTGGGATCGAGTGAGGATTCGATTTTACACAATTGAGCAAATATGCTAAATACTAATATCTTGATCCATTGAAATTCCATCAAACTCCAAGTTGAGCTCCAAAGATTTTTCATGGGTTGGCTCGTCTTGAGCTCGTGGGCCCCCAGCTTTGATCATTTGAGCCAAACAATCACATTGGCACAGTGTCAAATTTTATTTAATTTGTTATTTTTTTTTGTAACGATCCTATTCTCCATATAAAAACTCTAACTACATTTTTTTCACAGAGCACGAAGCACAATCCAAACACTTGAGAGGGGTGAATCACTTCTCTTTTTCTCTTTAATTTTTCCAATGATCTGTAGTGTATCATTATATATTTCAATGTCAAAATACTTAACAATAAATTCAACAATCTTTGTTATTGGATTAAGTTGCGGCATTAGGTAATAGTAAACAGTAAATGCAACCTTTATCACAATCATCAATATATTCTTCTCATGTTGTAACAATAAGATTTTATGTTTAAGTTATTTGTAATGACTCCGAAATTTTTGGTAGACCCTTGAGTCATAGAATCTTGAATCTTGGCCGAATAAAGGTTCTAATATTGAGGAGTTTCATAATGCAAGAAACAATCACAACGCTAGCCTAATCGTGATTTGCATTATGTCACTCGTCAAATATTAGAATATTTAATTGGTCAAAACACACAAATATATGACTTAAGGCGCTGAACAAGGATTTTTGAATTTTCTAAAGAAAGAGAAGAGTTAGAGTTGTTGTTATTATTATTATTATTAGTTTGAAAAGGGTCCAATTTTTTTTTTATTATTATTTTTAAAATATTTATGTAAACTCTACTTCACTTCATTTTTTCCACAAATTACCTTCTCAATTTACAATTATAATACTATTCATATTAACTTCTTTTATTGTGCAATCTAATGTTTTACTGTCTTTAAAATTACTTACTTGAGTTAATCCTTCATTCCAAATTCTTCCACTTACTAGGTCACCATATTGGGCTACAATCAATTTGGGCATGAGGACAAAACACATGTCCAGATCCATATTAAGCTGCTGGGCCTCACAAAAATTCAGCAAACCATCTTCTACAATCTCCACCTTTTGCTACATTTTGCGACGGTTTATAAGTGAATTCAAAACTTAGTCTAAACATCATTTGCTCTAATCACCTGTACAAAGACACAAAGTTAGTATTCTTCAAGATTAATCAATCTTAAAGAATCAGCAAACTTACTAATAGGGATTATCTTGGTTCCAACATCTAAAAGATTTACCTTAGTAGAAATCTTGATCAATTTAATATCTCCCATATCAATGATATCTCTAATAAAGTGGAACTTTACATCTATATGCTTGGATCTATCATGCAAAATAGAATTTTTACTTAAGAAAATTGCACTTTGGTTGTCAGAACACAGCTCCACCTAATTTTCTATAAGACCTAATTCTCCAAGTAAACCCTTCAACCATAATCCCTCCTTAACTGCTTCAGTTGCAGCAATGTATTCAGTCTCAGTTGAAGACAATGCAACCAATTTTTGAAGTTGCGATTTCCAGCTGATGCATGTATCATTAATGACATAAAAATATGCAGTTGTGGATTTTCTATTATCTCGATTTCTAGCAAAATTTGAATTCACATAACCTTTTAATGTAAGTCCATTTTTATTAGTTTTGAACATTAGACCTAGCTGACTTGTTCCTTTCAGATAT